GGAGCAGACGCGGTGGACCCTGCGCCGGCTCCGGGCCCGCGACTGGACACGGCTGATAACCGCCCAAGGAGTCGCGCTGGCTGTGCGGCCACCGGGGTACAGAACGTGAACTGGCCGCCCTTTATTGGGCAGGTGCTTCATTCTTAAAGTACTCCGAAATAAGCACGCAGGCGCCGAGGTAAATTAATTCAGAAACGCTCACCTGGACTCACGTGGGCGGCAGCCGGTCAGGGGTTCCGAGGGCTGTGCTCCTTCCCTCTGCTGCGTGTGTTCTCACACAGGACGTCAGTAGTTGGGAGGTACCTGTGCCTCACCCGCTGATGCAAAGTCGACGTGTATTTAGAATACGGGAATTAGAATACCTGCTCCGAGTCCTGCAGCTCAGCTCCACCGGAAGCCAGCGCATCCCCTTTCCCGCCTCAGCCCCCCAGGGCACGTCCCCGGAGGACTGAAGAGCACTCGTTATTACCTTGGACTTTGGCTTCGGAGAACAGAACATTTAGATTAGTGAATTGCGTTTTCAGACCGACTAACAGAATAGCCCCTAATAGCGACCAGGGTGGTATTTAATGTCGTTATATCCCGTAAGAAGTCTACTAGTTGGCAGTTCCCGGTCCGATGGAAAGACCCGGATGCCGTGAAGGACCATCTTTCCGTCCTTCTGTTTTGCCGTCTTGGCCCCGTGGATTTTCCTCCCCAGGCTTCTCACCTGCTTGTTCCGGGACGGCCCCCACCACCCAAGGAATGCAGCCCCACACCGGATATTTAAAGCAGGAGTAAGAGGCCAAACTGGAGACGGACCAAGCCCCCTGAATACCTCTCTCGTGGAAGAAGGAGGAAGACATCTCTCAGGATGTACTGGGAGCCCTCCCCACCCTCTCCAGGGTTACCCTTTCCTGAAATAGTGAATGTCTGGAGTGGACAGAGAGAAAATGACTGCCAAATAGCAACAGACACAATGACATCTAAGCGGCTGGAAATAACCCATCCTCTTGGTGATGGTCCTACTTTTTATGCTCCTTAATCTTTTTACTTGTGTCTTTAGAAGTTGCAGTCATCTCCAAGAAAGACTTGTATGTTGTTAAAGCATCTAAAAACAGTTCCTGACAGATACTACGCACTCAGTAACCAGTTGTTGAATAAATGAATGCTGTTTAAAAATACCCAAGGATGTCATATCTTTACCTTTTTGAAAGGAAAAGTCCGCATTACGATAATCAGTTCGGCACACCATAGGACAGGACGCTCACCAGACACAATTTCCGTTGCACTTCAAATGGTTTATTAAGCACTGAGTCACATGACAGAGCAATTTAAAGACCACAGGTGTAATCTCAAGTGCCATAATCATAGACTGCCCTGGAAAATATTTCAATAAGCCTTTCCCACCACTGACACCCTCAGGAACCAAAAACCTATGATTCTTTAAACAAAAATTCATAGGCAATTAATGAATAAAAGCTAGATCTACTGGGGTTAACTTTTTATATAGCAGATATTATTTCTTCACTGACGAGAGACTGAACAGATATAGTCACAAGCTTCTGGATAACGGCAGAGAGAAACGTGAAGCCTCACGCAGGCTCGGCTCCATGGAACCAGGATGATGTTTATTTTCCTCTCATTCCAGTTTTCAGATATACTTCTTTTCAATTTTTGATCTCTATAGGGGGGAAAAAACAACAATAGGGATATATGGCTACATTAAAAAAAATCAGAATTGTGTCTACTTCTCAGCCGAACACCGAAGGAATATGCAATTTCTCCAAGATGGAGGCAAATGCAATGGGAGAGTTTGAAGGGGAGGAAATGAGTTTTTTACTGCTGATCCGGCTTCTCTGTGACCCAAGTTATCAACGTCAGCTGGAATCTGCCCCATGTCCTACCCTCTGTAAAACAGGGATGACTGCCCCTTCCTGCCAGGACTGTGATCGAGCGTGTGGGTGCGATACGCTGGCCTCACCTGCGCACAAGTGAACCCAAGGCGTTATGGTATCCATCGCTCACTTTAATCTGGCCCAAACAGCGCAGGTGCGTTATGACTTCCTACTGGATCCAGCATTAAAAACAATTCAATCCTATCTTTACCTTTGGAAGTGACAGCAAGTATAAGGCTCCACAGTGACTGTGACTTCCACCAGAAGTGTGCGTGTGTTTCTAGTCACTTTTCAGAGCTGCGGCCTTTCTCTGTGTGGTTGTGGGCACACGGGACTATGATTGCCACGTGACCCATCCTGATGGGATGTGTGCAGGCGCAGGGCTGAAGCGACGCTATTGGCAGTCTTTCCTGACATGGTTCTGCTTTGTATATGCATCACAATAGTGCTTCCCTCGTCACACACACACACACACACACGCACACACACACACACACACCCCTCGTCTTACAGCAATGGAATAATTAGACTCTGAGCCTCTGCCCTGCACCCGGCAGACGTGCTCGAGCTACGACTTTGCGGTTACTTGGGACAAGGCGGTCCCCCTCAGCTTACGAGCAGTGGGGCATCAGGAAAGGCCTTGCTTGAGAAAGTGGGTCTTTACCTCACAGGTCAGGAGGCATGGATAGGCCTCTCGCAGAAATGAAACACTTTTTAACCGACTTGTTTGAGCAGTCTAGTATTTCAGGTGTTCACAGTTAACATTAAGAGCAAAGAAGGTCAGGTTGCACACGGTCAGCGAAATGACTTCATCACACACTGGGGAAACCAGAAGAGGGACAAACAGAGGCGAAAGCTAGGGAGCTGGTCGCAGAGGTCCGGCCACCACTGCCTCCCCAAAAGGGGGGCGAAAATATTTAAGAAAACAGAGAAACGAAGGAGGTACGCAAACTCTAACGGACTGACGTTCTTAGAATAATCTAATGAAACAGCTTTTACGACTGCTGTGGCTCCAACGGACATAATTTCGAGGGCCCTGCCTGTTGCCAGCGCCGCATCTGCGTTCACGTGTTTCTTACCAGTTAAGCACCTGCTGTCTTCAGGGTCCCTTCCACTGATGAGGGCAAACCCCTCACGACGACAGGAAGCCCATGGTTCCTTTCTCTGAGCCAATAAGAATTTGGTTCTTCCTGACAGTAAATCATCCTTCTTGTCAAATTCCCTTTTGTAATGTTTTTGTTAATTTTCAATTATCTACAGTTTAATGTGTAAGCTCGTTATGACAGTAAGTTGCGTCAATGAACACAGGAGAAATCCACGGGAAGATTATAGAAATACGCGACTGATAGTCTCCTAGAAGACTGCAAAGCAAAAGCCTAGCGAAGTTTGCAAAGAACCAGTGCAGATCCTGCTGCCTCTCCAGACCAGATGGGACATGGCGCCAGCATCCCCCTTGGACAATGGAAAAAACTGGTCCCGGCCACCTGCGCGCAGCCTACCTGCAGCCGCCGCCTTCGGCTCCGCCTCTGCCCGCAGCAGGTCCGTGGCCAGGCCTCTGATGTGCTCCCAGGCCCGGTGCACGTGGCTGGATTCCACCATGCGAGAGCAGATGGCGAAGCGCAGCACGAACTGGTCTCGGAGGTGACACGGAACCAGGTGGATTTTTTTGGTGGTGTTTATCTTTTCCAGGAGGGCTTCGTTCAGCTTGTTGGAACCCTGGAGGGATCAAGAGAGAGGGGTCACGCGTCGGCAAACGCAGCCCCCTGACCGCTTGCCCGCCGCGATGGACGAGGGCCGCGCAGAGGAACGGGAGGGCGGTCTGGGTGTCCGCGGCCACCGAGGACGCAGCGCGCGCGGGGCGGGGCCGAGCGGGCAGCGGCGGGGACAGGGCCAGGCGGGGACATCGCAGCAAGGACTGGTCGCAGGACGAATTCCTCCCTCTCGGGGGCCGAGGCGCGGGTTTGAGCTCGGAGGTGACGCGTCAGAGAGAGCGGCGGGGACTGAGCGGGTCTCGGACAAACCTTCAGCCGGAAGCAGACCAGCCCGAGGACCACCTCCGCGCAGATCTCGAAGCGCGGGTCCCGCCGCACCGCAGACTCCAACTCGCGGGCCAGCCCCACGTGCTGCGGGGAGCGACACCTGTTAGAGCCCGCGCCGCGCACCTGCGCTCCCGCCCGCCCGCGCGCTGCGCGTCGCCCGCCCAGCAGCGTCTCGCACGGGCTGCGGAAAACCCGCGCCACCGTGGGAAAAGGGCGGCGACCTCAGAAAAACACCAGCCATCGCTTCCTTCTGCTGCGGGGACTGTTTTCCCACCTGAACCATCCTTCGCAACGTGAGCGAAGACGCCGGGACGAGGGCTCTGAACATTCTAGAAAAGCGGTGGCGGCGAAGGGCCGCGCAGCGGGTCCCCCGTGCTGGCCGGTGCGGACGCCTCACCGCGGTGCCGGGTCACAGTGTCCCCCCGGACCCCCGGGGGCAGGCAGGGAAACCGGCGCGCGTCCCAACGCAGCCGCCTTCGGAGCTGCGGTCGCAGCGCTGCTTGTCATCGCCAGTGTCCCCCGCCACGTTGGGGACTGCCTTCCTCTCATCGACTAGCGTCACCTTCTCCGACTTCTACATGTTTATGGCGCTCAAAAGCGGATTCGGGGGGCACGAGACCTGCCGACGAGCCCTCCGTGGTCTGGCTGCCCGTGTGGCTTGCTCTGAGCCGGCATCCAGCAGGGGCTGTCACCGGCGCTGTCACCGGCCGGCGCCCAGGGAGCGTCCCAGCGCAAGTGCCCGGCAAGTGCTGGGCTCAGGCGGCTGGGCCGGGGCGCCATTAAATGGGCGGTCCCCGCACACGGTAACCCTGGCGCCACCAGAGGGCGCCAGAGACTTGGGGCTGACAGGGACCCCTCCACCAGCAGGGGCCGCTGCACAGCTGCCCAGGGACAGGGGTGTCTATTGGGCTGCCAGGCAGGATGGGTCCCTTCTCAGAGCCTTTTTAACATGTCACAGCCCAACCACACCCAGTTGCCCCTGAACTTAAAGCTGGAACCGTTATGGAGAGAGAAACCACTCATGTTTCACCTTCTCTCCCCAAAGAAGCTAGATCCTCACTATACTTGAGAACATGGGCTCAGATGGGACGGGCATCTCTTCCCCTGCAAAGTCACCCTCACACTGCCTTCCCAGCCACCTTCTCCACCGAGACTCTCCTGGTGAGTCCCCACTCCCACAGGTCCCCCTAAAAGCCTTGCAAGGCAGGTGGGGGCCAGTGCGTGATGTTTGGTAGGCACTGAGCCAGTGCCTGCAGATGGACACCGGCCACATGGCCTGTCACAGAGGAGGGGACTGGAGACATTCGGCCCAGCCACAGGACTCAATGAAGGGCTGGCCGTGTCTGTCTCGCTAGACTTGGAGACTGCGGGTCTGCCCTGTCTCCATGAAGGCCGAGGGCTCTGTGCGGGGCGGGAGGGACCCCGCTGGCATCAGCAGGCCTTCTGCAGCCAGCCAGGTGGGTGGCCTTGGGCAAATCCCAGCACACGTTCAGGCCTCAGTTTCCTTGATGGTTAAAAAAAAAAAAGGGGGTGGTGCTCAGGGCAGACGGTGGCTCTGCGCTCAGGCACTCGTCACAGCCACTCCAAGGGAGCCGTCAGGCCGTGCTGCCGGGGAGACACATGTGAGGACCCCCAGGCTGGACAACAGCCCCCACGCTAAGAGCACCCTTTCCGGAAAGCTTATAGAAGAAAAGCTTGTCCTTGCTTTGGCCACTGCTAGCTAGACCTCGCCGACGTGGCTAACGTGCCTGCTACGTGGCCTTTGCCCTCTGGCAGTCCCCTGGAGCCGATAACCCGTGGTCCTGATGGAAATGTCTTAAAGGACCCACACTCACGCATGGGCTATCTTATAAATGCCCTAACCGCGATGGCGCACGCTACCCCTTGTCACGTATTTGCTTATGATGCCATCTTAGTTTATTTCTAAAGTCCCCTAAGAGCTCCGGGAGACACCCGGATGTGTTGAAGGCAGTCACCTTGCGGATGTGGACCTGCAGCCCCGTGACCCCGTACATCCTGAAAACGAACCACAGTTTCAAGGAGCGGAATCTGCGGCCCAGCGGTAGCTGCCAATGCTGAAAAAAAAACAGAGATGCCCAGTCAGCGGGATGCCAGCGCCGGCTTCCCTGGACCACACGCCCCCCGCCCCCCGCCCTGCTCCCCCGGAGGCAGCTCCGTCCCAGCAGGCCGCCTCTCTGCCCCACCTGGGGTAGCGAAGCGGAGGTGGGGTGAGCGGGTCCCACAGCAGGAGGCTACCTCTGTCACTCAAGGATGGGACACGCCATTGACCTGGGGGCTCCCTGCCCACGGAGCCCACTCGGCGGCTGTTTGTTGGGTGCACACAGGTGGCCAGACCAGTGCTGAGCTCAGTGCCGTCGTGAGAGGACAGGCCAGAGGTAGCTTCCGCTCAGAGCAGACTTTCCCTCCGCGCCCAGCCTCAGCCCGCCGGGCTGTGGGTTCCGAGGTGATGAGGACTCTTACTGGCCTGTTTATCCCCAGCCCAGGCCCAGCACCCCGCCTGGCTCAGGGCAGCCATTCTGTCCCGTTCCAAGGGACATCGTTGACCTGCGTGCTTAAATGAGCAGGAGGAAAAGCCGCCCCGCCCTCACACGGGCCATCAGAAACCATTCGGCAGGTAGAAGCCAGCTGCCTTGATGTGTCACAGCCGCCCAGAGGTGGGTGCTTCAGAAACAGCACGTGGCCCAAACACAAGCTGTCCACACCCGGCATACAACGCATGAGCTGCCGGCACTCAGTGCCTGCGGCTTCGGCATCATAAGGAACAAGAGATGGCCTAAGGAGAAGCCAGTGTAGCAGAGGACATCGGCCCTCAGGCCAGAGAGGCCCTCAGAGGGCAGCAAGACGTTTCGGCTCTGTCTCGATGGCAGCTCGCAGCGGCAGGCAAGAGGGTCGTCACGGCCAGTGTGACCATCTACCTCTGTCTCCCTCAGCGGCCTGGGGCCTGGGAGGGGGGCATGGGCCTCGCAGGGGCTCCTGGCTGGAGGGGAGGCCGCCCGCTGAGCCCTCGTTAGGCGCTGGCCCCTCACTGCCTCTCCGCCTGGACGCCCACTCCAGGATCCCAGCAGCTGTGCAGGAGGGAGGGCCACACCGTCTACAGACCATGCCCGTCCCAGGGGACCCTGGGGGCAGTGGCCCTGTCTCCTCGGCAGAGTGTCCTGCTAACCCGAGTCCTGTGGCTGGCGGGCTCAGCAGAGCTGGCCGCCGCCCAGCCCGGCTCACCAGTCAGGACCCGGACAGTTGGCACCCTTTGGCGGGCCCCCGATCGTGACGAAAGAAGGGCCGTCTGGGGGGGTCACCGCCATGATAGCGCCCAGTGCCGAACGCATTCGGGTGCCCACAGGCCTGGTGCTGCGCAGGACAAACCACTCACCCTGTAGTCAGTGATGAGCCCTGCAAAGAGAAAGAAGAAACGGTCACACGCGGGGGCCAGGCACAGGCCTAGTCCCTCTCGGCTTCAAGGTCAGCGTACCGTCTCCTGGCCCAGACGTGACTTCGAGGTCAGCGCCCTGTCTCCTGGCCCAGACGTGAGACCGCTGAGGGCAGGTGCCGGTGTGCTTCGTGGCACCTCCCAAAGTAACACGTTTAAGGGGAGCCCTGGGGAGCAGGTGCCTGGACACAGACCGGAAACGCTGAATTATGACCGGATCGCCACCCGCTTCCCTTCCTGCGGTGATGTAAGCGCGGGAACCTGAGCTCCCCGCAGCAGGAAGCTGGCATTCGGCTCGATGAAGCCCTCGTCATCCATGCGCCCATGGGAAGGCGAGTTTGTGACACGAGAGTGATTAGAATATAAGACTTGAAACTTGGCCGGTGTCCGTCTCCGTAGCCACGGACCTCAGTCCAGAGTCCGGCCTGGGGCCGACACCTGCTGACTGTCCCTGAGTCATTTTCGTCACCCCGGATGCAGTGGCTTCACAGCGGTTGTGAGATGTCTTGCTTGCAGCTCAGCCTCTTCGTGTGCCTGAAGCGGTCCGTCCCCGGGTGGCCTGGGGAGGGACGCTGGGCACTGAAGCGGTCAGTCCCCAGACGGGCTGGGGAGGGGCACTGGGCGAAGACTCGTAAACACGCCTTTCCACACAGTGACCCAGGCGGGGAAGCGGGGGGAGGTCTGAAGGTGGGCACGGTGTTGTGTTGGGACTCCTGACCCCCTAATATGGTCCAGAGCAGGCTCCCCGTGGCTCCCCACTTCCCAGGTCAGAGTGGCTGTGGCCTGGCCATCGCAGGCCTCCTCGAGATCAGCTGGGACGAGATGCCCACCTAAGGTGGTCCAGCGTCACCCTTACAGACTGTCTTGAGCCCCCGTGCAGATGGGCCTATCCCGCGTTTACAGGGAGATCTAGGACCACCGGTTAGCCTGACCGCCCGAGTGCCCTCTGGCTGGGAGAGACCCGGCGTTTCCCCAACTTGGATCATAAAACAGAGACGTGGGGACCAGGCAGAGTCATTTCGCAAGGACCAACCTCCCTGTTTCATGAGGGACCCTGAGACGAAGCCCACGGTCGCCCAGCTCGTGTCAGCCCCCAGCCAGTGCCCTGTTCCTCACACCCATGGACGGCGTTGCTGGACAAACGTCCACGGCAGCCATCAGAGGTCACTGACAGGGACGTGTAGGTGCCAGCAGACCACAGCGGCACCCAGAGCGCCCCGGCACGCGAGAAGCTCTCGGAAAGGGTCTGTCGAAAGCCGGGGGGGACAGCTGGGAGGGCAGACATGCGAGGGCCCTCCTTTCTGTGTACCCCTCGGCACCCCCAACAGCCCCCGGCCACACGAGGCTACGTTTAATTACAATTAAATAAAACTAAAGACTGATTCCTTCAGTCATGCCGGCCACGTCGCAAGTGCTCGAGGCCACACGTGGCTGCTTGGCGGCTGCTGTATGGGACGTTTCTTCCACTGTAGAAAACTTTACTAAAGCTGTGAGGAAGAGGACTCAGATGCGGTGACTTCTCCAGCCGAACCACACCGTACGTGACGGGCGGAGTCCGCTTCTCGGGGACCCGCTTCCGTAAGGACCGGCTGAGGACCTGGACGAGTGAGGGACAACCTCGGACAGGTGCTGGCCGCTGGCGTAGGGCGCGCCAAGGCCCTCTGGGCCAGCAGCCTCCTGTGACGACGGTTCTGCTGATGCCGGGGACTGCTTCGCAGGTGTCACGTGCCCAGGAGGTCTTCACAGCGACGCCAGGTACACGTGGCGGGGTGAGCAGCTTCTCAGTTGCAGATGGCGACGAGCGCAAACAATGCCGCACGGCGCTCCGTGCGCAGCGGACCGTCCCCGCCGGCCGCCCGCGCCCTGCTCCCCGAACACGCCGCTTTCACACAGACGGGATCCGCCTGGAAGGTCTCCGTTGCAGGCGAGGCCGCTTTCCCCTGCCGCCGGCGGGGTGAAACCTTTCCCGCCATCAGAAAGGGACCCCCCACTTGGGCGCGGTTCGGTGTCCGAGGAGACGACGTCCGGAAAAGTGCGGCAGTGACGCGGGGACGCCTCGCGGC